TGCAAATAGAATACTCAATGTTTTTTCTATCCATTAAACCTTTTTCCTGAGGAATTAATGGAACTGCAGTAATCTAATCGCAACAGATTGCAGATCATCTATCATACAGCATTCTCTGCTGTGCCATGGCATTGCCTTTTGGTTGGATACATTTCCTTTCATGGACATTAGGTGACATATTATACAATAAAATGGGGTTTGAAACAATATCCCTCCCCTCCACAGACACACAATTAGTTTCAAAGGCCCTCATGGCACAACACTGATCATTAATTACCTCAAGCCTCAGCCTGCTCTTATCACCCCAGAGGAGTTCACTGCCTCCAAATTTTAGAAATTTTTTTTTTATTGGATGAAGAATTGCACTTCACTAGGATTGATCCCCATAAAATCAGCCACAAATTCAATTTTATAAACATGGCAATATTTTCCCAACAAGATCCATGGTGCATTGTAGCAGTTACTTCCAGGGATGGACTGGAAGCAGTAAGAGCAACATCCAACACAAAGAAGAATCAACAGTGAGTGGGATGATGGGAGCAGTTTCATTTTATACCCAATTTAACATCAGCAAAAAGCAAGTCTTTTTGTCTTTTGTTTTCCCCATCCCTCTTCCAGCCATGCATTCCTGTGTTTTCTTTACAAAGTCATGTAGCTGCAGGGCCCAAAAACATCAGCCAGCCCCTGGCCCAAGCAAAAATTAACCTACCACAAGAATATTTCCTGCAAAATTTTACCCTTTGGATATAATCCTGAAGAGAATCATGGCTGCAGATACAATTGATATTGCTGCCATCATGGGTAAAACAAACTCAACTGGGGGGAAATCAATTTATGCATGGCTAATTAAAATAGGTTTGGATAGCAACAGACAAAGACAAATTAAAACACCACCTTCCCCCAAATTCTCTTTCCCAGGCTCAATGTTACTCCCTCATCCATAAATACTGCACCCTCTCCTGCAAGAAGGGCTTGTGGGGCTGTTTCTCACATTTTTTCTCACTCCTTGCTACCCATCCTGCTTCTCAGAGCCAGGGCCTTTACAGCTGTCCACAGCAGAATACCAGGGACAAAGGAGTTTACTCTTAGCTGCAAAAAGCAGCAGTATTTTCAAGCATGGACAATTTGATGTCAAATCTCAAGCTGACAGGGAGCAGGACTGGGAGATCTCCAACACAGAATTGCATTGTGTGGCTGTTATCAGTCACAACTCACATTTTAAGGAAAAAAATTCTAAAAGCTATGTTCAGTAGGATTTCTATCACAGGTCCAGTACATACAGAAGATGTTCCATTCCAGGCTGGTTTCCTGCCTTATCACACTTACCTGGGACACTGCTTTGCCACAGGTGAGTTGTACTATGGGAATCCTTGCCTAAGGTTGTGCTCTAATAGGTGGCTGTTGATACCACTCACACACATGTACCTGAAATGAAACCAGGGCTGCAGAAATTATAATCTTATTAAAACTTGTAAATTATGAAACAATGCTGAGAGCCCTTTAGCTCTTTTTAGTGCAGTCATTGCTCAGCCACAGCAGATTATTAGCCCAGAGGAGCCTGTGCTTTGGTTCTTCCATTTGGCTTGCTGGAGCCCTACACACCCAATAGATATTCCCAGATAATCCAAAAAATGAGTCATAAAAAACATCTCACACAACCTCATTTCTGAAGCCTTCAGTACTGGCATTAAGGGACTCATAAAGTTGGAGTCCTCTAAGACAAATACCTTCAAGGATGACATCCTGGCTCCACTGAAGCTGATGGCTGAGCTCCAAAGTGACACTTTCTGAAAATGGCATTTCACTTTGAAAGGCGTTTTGTTTCAGAAAGATGAGTTTAGCTGGTCTCTATCCCTATGCCTCAGTGGCTATTTGCAGCAGTACAAGATTATCACTGAGACCTCAGAGGTAAGGGAGGGTAGGATGGTTTAGGCACAAGGCCAAGGGAAAGCAGGTCCCACCTTACCTGCCACTCATGCTAACACAATTTATTTGCTTCATTAGGCACACAGGAGTGGGTAACAAGACACATCTGTTGTGTTTAAATCCCTGTCAAGTGATGCTAATGGTCTTTATGGGGATTTATGCCCCAGGTTATGTGGAATGTGTACAATCTAATCTGTGTCACTGTAAAATCTAAACCAATAAAAGTCACTCTACAAGTCCTTCTTATCTCTGTGTTATCTTCCAACAGAGTGAATAATCAAGCTCTTACAGTAGCAGAACCTCCCACAAGCTTTCCTGTAAAAAATGAGCAAAAAGAAAAGCGGTAAGTTTAATTAATCAGTAATAAAAATCTGTCCTTAGACCCACTACCTGAGTCCTTTGCCACAAGCTTCCATGTAAAATCTCAACACAATTTCCTGCAAGTTACAGTTTCTCAGCATTTCTTGGCTGATCTGGCTCTGGTATGAGGCAGTGGCCCTGTCCCAACCCTCCTGCAAGGAATCTACAAAACCTCTGCTGACACTACATGGAGGCTAAAAGCCACAGAAATTGTGTTTGCGTTCCCTTTGCTGTAAACCAAAACAAATCTTTCACAGGAAAACCAAGTGTAAGGGAGCAGTTCATACTTTGTCTCTTCAAATATCCCTAGGAAGACGAGCCCTAAGAGCATGGGAAGGATATATCAATTCTTAGAAAATCCACGTTTCTTGGTTACTGTCTCTTATTCTTTTTTTCCTTCAAAATAGTTTTGTTTTCCCCTCTACCCCTTTTCACTGATTTCTTCTCTCCCCTGTTGGCAAATTTATTTTATATACTCTGCTAACATAGCCTTTATTTCCCTACCTAGCTACAGTATAAACTTTCCCTTCAACTTTGCAATTCTCTCCTAAACCTTCTCTTATCAACCATGCTGATAACCAGGTTCTATGCCTAAGTTATATTTTAATATGAAAAAGTGACTCTACTAAGAGGATGGATGTCAGCCACCCAGAATTACACTTACCCCAATTCTGTAAGAGTGGCAAACCTTCTGAAAATGAGGAGATGGTGCTCAGTTACTTGCACACACAAAGCTGTAAAAACTGAGGAGATGGTGCTCAGTTATTTGCACACACAAGACTGTAAAAACTGAGGAGATGGTGCTCAGTTATTTGCACACATAAAGCTGTAAAAACTGGGCAATTCAGTGACTTTCAGCAGATAAATCCTGCTACCACTGAAGGACAGAACTCTTGATATATCTCACTGACTCAAAGTAAACGACTCACATAACAACTGGAAGAAAAAGAAATCATTAAATTGCATTAACAAGCATATTAAAGTCTCATCACACTTGAGAGCCTCCTATCTAATCCTGCATCATTCTGCTCAAAACTGGATTGCAAAGACTGTCCAGCTGCACAATTACCACATGCCACTGTGAAACATTGTACCTGTAATGCCATAACCACCAATTCCTTTGACTTTTTCTATATTCTGCTTTTAATTCACATTTTAAGCAACAACAGCAGTTACCCCAACCTTGCTAGTAACCCTATAGATTTATTACCAGCTTTGTTTTCTTTTAGGCTTCCTTCTTTTCACAGCATTTTTTGTATTGTCCTTCACAGGTGAATGGCTGCAGTTCCCCTAAACCAAGTCCTCTCATCCTCCACCTCAGTCAAATCTCTCAAATGCCACAGTATTTCCAGAGGTTAATTCACAAGCAGAAAACCATAGTCTTCATCTCTACAGAACTGTAAAGAGTTTTTAATAAAAAAAAAAAACAAACCAACCAACCAAAAAAACCAATCCCCACAACTGGAATTCAAATCACCTCTTAAGATCTTTTAGTGTAACAAGCCTGCCTTCCATAACTTGCTCAGTTGGAACCCTTTGAAATCACTCATTACAAGTTCATGCTGTTAAGGCACAGGAGCAAAGTAAGCCAAAAATGGGTGTCAGGTTTGGTTTGGCCTATTAGAAACTTTAAGCAAGAAAATTTATTATGGCTGAAGACTGAACTACTCTGGCACCGACCTGTCTGCTGATCCTTTAGGACATGTAATTGTGTCTTTGAGTATAAAACTGACAGCATTTAAATTTTATTTCTATGTATTTCACTTGCTCACCCTTTCTTTATAATTTCAGCAGCTATTGCTGTCCACTGTGTCATTTCCTCTTGTGCCAATGGCAATGGTTACTCACCACACACAGGGCTTACAGAACACGTCCTTGCAGTGTCCTTCCTCACCACTTATATTCCATAAGCCTCTTTTAAGCTCAAAATAGAACTAGCAGCACAATTACATGCATAATTAAAGTTGTATAAGATATTACATTGGTTTAAGTGGAAGTTTGATAGGAAATTCTGCTCCTGTCAGTCTTCATAACTACTGATACCAAATTGATACATAAGATGGTTTTCTTCTCATATGTACCTTAGGTAGAAAACTCTGCACCAAAAGGAAGAAAAGAAATTGACTGAAGTATTGTATAGATACAAAAATAAAGTAAAAACAAACTACAGAAATCCTATGCTGGAATTCAAAACTCCAAAAAGAGTGATTAAGCAAGTAAGGGGAAGAAAGCATTTATGAATTTACATTTTACAATGGCGTGATAGACTGAATTTATGCCAAAATTTCTATATGATGTCAGAGAAGAAAATTTCTATATGATGTCAGTAGAGAAAAGCACTTTTAAAATAAAAGCAGGCTAACACTGTTCCTTTAGCTTTTCTAACAACAAGACCATTTTCAAATCTGGCTATGTACAAACCCATATACATGATCTTCAATTTTTCACTCACTACACAGTGAAGGGTCCTTCACTTCCTCAGACCATGAAAGCACCACTGAGGATCCAACCTCAAGCATTGTATTTCAGCACAAACTATTTCAAGGCACATTCCATGCTGTTGTTGTGCAATCTGGAAAGCTGCTGATTTATATTATTTACAGAACTGTATTGAAATATCTTCAACTATAGGGCGACACTGAGGTCAAAATTAAAAAACCATACAAAGGTGACAGCTTTTCAATGTATGCTGTAGTGTAATAGTGAAAATTAACTGAGGCCATTAAAAAAATTTTATTCTTTTCCATGAAAGATTGGTACTACAATCAATATAACCATTTCATCAGTCAAGTATGTCTGTTATAGGCAGGCACAATATTACAAAACAGGCAAGTACAATGCCTGATTAAGCAAATACAGTCTGAATATCTATTCATCCACTATTTCTGAAAACAGAATTATCAAATATCCACCAGGGAAAAGGATGAACTATTTTAGTTTCTCTTTGGCATACTTATCAGGACAATGAATCAATTACAAAAGTCTTCTATTGCTGCCAGTGCTGTGAAGGAAAAAGGACTGAGTGGAAGGTTTCACGTCAGAACTCGCTTTTAGGACTTGGGCAACCTGGCTCACATAGCCAAACTGGTGACAAATGACAGTTCAGCTGCCAATGCTTCACGAGGCAGACAAGGAGTACACTGTTTTACACTGCAGGTTTGTTCAAGGTATCAAAAGAGTTACAGTAAATTTCTGCACAGTACATACATATTACACACAGTTATAAATACCCATGCTGCGGCTGGACACCAGGAAGTTGCTTTACCAACACCAAAGCTCAGTATCAGACCTCCCACCAGCCACTTGATACACATTGCACTTCCCATCCAGTAATATGTTCATTTCTGTACCTCTCTTAAAAATAGATTTAAAGCAGAAGTGAAGAATAATATTGAATCTTTCCATAAACTTTGTTTTCTTATTTACACTGTAATATTCCATTATACATAAAGACTGCGGAACGATACATTATCTTCATATAGCTTTTTGCAATACATACAGCTTGGAGCTATTAACATCTTGGTTTGGGAACACAGATATGACCTATAAGACTATTAAAAAAAAATTTGAGCCTTAATTTTGCTCTAGTTTGTTTCACTGAAACCATTCTTTGAACAAAAAAAGAATCCTCCTTACTGGAGAGGAAAAAACCAACTCATGTTTAAATCACCTCTGGATTTCCTTAAACCACTAAGAAACTTAAAAACCATAATAATTTTTTGCATAATCATAAAGCCACTTCAAAGGCCTGTTACTTTTAAATTTAAAATATGAATGACAATTGTGACCATATCTTTAAATTATTTTTTTCTTAACTTTTGGTTATCTTTCAACACAGAAAAATGAAAATGCAATCATTAATTATACATGATCTTTGCACAACTGGGGAGTGTTCCTATTTTATTCGTGGGACAAAATGAACATGCACACAACCCCCATTCACAGAGTGAGAACATAAACTACAGCAGCACTTCTCTCAAGTTGTGGTGCACATGGTTGCAATACGGAGTATAAAACAAAAGCAGAATTTCCAACATCTGTTAAAACATAAAAAAAACCCTTATTGTACAAAGAGTCATTCACATTCTCTGCAATGAAGTGAAGAATCAGCTGCTTTCTGGACTCTCCAGCCTGCAAACCCCTCCTTCTATTGCCACGGACTGTCCTGCCACAGCTCCAGGAGGAAGTCTTGAAATGTGAGTCTGTGGAGAAGCCAAGAGAATATTATGGACTGAGAAAAGGCAAAACTTTGCAGGACAAAGTAAACTTGTAAGTATTGAACAATTAAGCTGTTCCCTCACTGAAGTCTGAGGACAAACTACAAAGAAACTTGAAAAGCAACTGAGATTCTGTTTCTATTTTGTTTGCATTAATGTTTAACACATGAAGAGAAAGACCATGACAGATGCATAGAAAAGGCAAATTGGATGAGTCAATGCACTGAAAGTAGAAAGAAATATCCAGAGTGAAGACAAAAGAAAATACTTCTGGCATTTCATGGTTTATAGGTCTATTTCTTGGGGTGATTCAGAAGTCATTACTACCCCATACAGAAATACACCTTTGAGAAACCTCAGACAGAATTAAATACTTGACAACTAACACTTCAGAGGATAAGGCAACTGCAATGATCAGGATGCATGTAAGAAATTCCTCTGCATAAAATACCTACACATCCACCTAAAAAAACTCCAAAGACTTCCTGTTGCCAGCTACCAAATAAATCAACCCAAAAAACAATTGTGTTTCTGCCAATAGGCATCTTTTCCACAGAAGACTAGAAAAGCCTTTGAGAAGGCACTGGAACATTTCAGCCAGGAAGTGGGTACATTTGTCTGTGTACACAAGACTCCAGTTTATAACTGAATTGTAACTCAGTGACCCTAAAAATCTGTTAATGATCCTTGATATACTGGGGTATGTTTTATTACTGATGGGCAAAACCATCTGCTTATGAAAAGATACTTTAGCTTACTGTTAAGAGTAATGACTTTTTATTTCCCTTTGCACATGTTTTTACACTGTGAAAACTGCTCATGTTCTATTAAATTCGGAACTAGAAATGATCCCTACTATGGTAAAAAGCTCACAACATAATGTTGCTGGCATTTAGAAACTACAGCCTCCTCTAAGTGCAGCCCAGCACATATTTGCTTGTACTTACATTATCTCATTTAAAAGATTGATCAGTTGCAAAATTTATAACTTGCAATAAGGCAATGTTTGTTAACATTGTTAAGGGGTTGTCACAAAAAGTACAAATGTAAAAGGTCAGTAAGAAAAATTTGCATCAATTGAGCAGAAAGTGATTTGAGACTCTAAACTCAGCTCATTACATTGAAGAAACGTTTTGTGTCTTGAGCAGCTTTTAAAAATTCCTTTCTTGATAAGGGGGGGGCATCCTGCTGCCTGCACTTAGGTGGCCTTATTTTCAGTTAAATCACAGAATAAGATTAAATTTACAACATTTCAATGTTCTCATTTTATTGCTAAAACTTGATCTCCGGCTTTCCTGCTTGATATATGAACATATTCCGTGCTTGATATATGAATATGTTCCTGCTTTCAGAACAATTTCAGTTACAATTGTGATTTACCACTCCAAGAAGAAAATAATCTGTTCAAATCTGTTACAGTTTCCCTCAAAATGTTACTGACAATTTTTCTGTAGATGTCATTTCATAAATTAAAAAAAAAATTCAAGTAACAAAATCAAGTGGAAAAAAGATATTTTTTATTCTATGACTGACAGATCAATGATATTTTCCCAGGTCTGTAAAAATTTCTAAATAAAAAGAATGACAGTATAAAAGCAGCATTGTTTGATGGGATTGGTAGCAAATTTGCTTCCTCATAGGAAGAATGTCACCTGTTGTTCAGTGAGGTACTGCAATCCAAGCAAACCAGTAAATTAATCCTAATGAGTTTTTGAGCAAGGGAAGGAAAATGTACAAGAGGGGATAAGCAGGTGGTCACTATCTATTAATACATTAGCAAGTATCCATGCTTAAATAGCCACCCAAACCACATTTCCTACAGAAAACCTCATTTCCTATGTCAGGAGGAACACATTCCCCATACACAAGACCCCAAACCACTGTATACCAGCATCTGAAGATTTCCATTTGCAGAAACACTGAAACCACACATAACAAAGCATTTCTTAAAGCCTTTACTTGCATCCTGTTTATTTGCATACTTCCTATGATGGAGTAAATACAGATCTGGTTCACACTGACTACTTGTTATTACTTTCACCAATGGCTGCCTGGTGTAAAACAAAACTGAGACAGATTTAAGATGATAACGTTTAAGATGTTACTTAATAAATAATTTGAAAGGGTAACATTGCCACGTCAAGACAACTGTAGAAAACTCCCAAATGAATTCTTACATTTATATCTCCCTTGTTCTTAACCATAAGAACAAACTCCAGTAAATAAAAAGAAACATCAAAGAACACAGAATATTTTTAAATAAACCACAGTACTTATTCGTAAATGCGTTACATTTTTATATCCCAACATCATATTTTACATTAAGTCCAGACTGTATAGTCAATTAGGTTTAGAGTCTAGAAACTTAAAAATAAAAAAGCAAACAAAAACGAAGAACACTGGAAAGGTTTTAATTGAACTCAATTAGTCTGTCAGCTTTACAAGTCGAATGAGCCCACACCTGGAAGAAATTGTGCCTGCGAACACAAAAAAAAAAGGAAAATAAATATTTTTCCTGAATTAATCCTCCACTGAACTCCACAGAAGACTCTCTTTGAGCAAAGTGCACGTCAAAGAATGGTAGATTAGGAATGATGAGTTATCCACATGTTCAGCTTCATATATAGGCATTTTACAGTCCCAAGAATATTCTGATTTGCTTTGCCTCTCAGAGAAAAGCAAGGTTGGTGAGAGACAAGGTACCAACACCTGGGACACCAGTCAACCACCACAGATTTTTGCTGCAGCTTAGAGGAGGAACCACTTGTCCACAGTTCCACAGGAAAAAATGCTGGAAGAAACATTCGATCTTTTGCTTTCTACCCCTCTATAAAGCCCAAAAGAGCCAACCAACCTTCTGATGCTGAATCTTGCTCTGTGTTCTTGCCATCCAAGCCCTCAGTGTTTCCCTCTTTCCCTCCTAACCAAATCAACTTCCTGAAACTACTGACCCCAACCCCAGTGCTGCAGACACTGCAATGTAATTCTCTCCCAGTGCTTTCTGATGCACACTGCAAAGTTCCCTACCTAAAAAACTAACAGCTCTTTCTGGAATTCATGGAATACAACACCACAGGACCAATATATGGTTTCATCTTTTTGACTTCTATTACTTCATGTCTCATAGACAAGGATTCTGAAACAACCTTGAGACCAAGGAATATGAAAAATATTTTATTTTAAAGAACTAGTCTCCTCCATTTATTCACATAAAAGTATCAGTTTTTCACAGCAACTTAGAGAGTTTTTCTTTCATTAAAAACATAAATACAATATAAAATGAATATATAAAATTTCAGCCAAGAGACAGACAGTGCTGCATGAGAAAGCTGAAATCAAACACTGCCAAGAGGACAGAGTACAACTACCAGATGGCAGCACATTCAGTTCTTAAGCAAAACTAGAGAGTACTTCATGTATTTAGCACTCTTATTACACACTTAGGATGTGCTTTAGACAGAATAATTTATAAAACAATTTTTTTCCATTCATTACACTATAGAGATGAAATATAATGAAAGACCAAAGGTACCATATCCTTAAGAAAATTGCTTTCTACAGCTTTGCTCCCTGAAAAAAAGAGTACTACCAAACTCACATATTCTTTAGAAATTTAGAGCCTTCTAGCTGGGTACACACTTCCACCATGAGAACCATCTGACCACACATTCTGAATTTATTTTCTAAGCAGTTAAGAGCCCATTTTGGCAGCAACTCTGCTGCTCTGTCTCCTGGTAATCTCTCCTCCACCATGGTTTGTATGTACACCTGTAGTACAGCAGGAGAAGGCGCCCCACTAAATACTGGCAACTGCTGTTATCAGAAAATGCCATATGCACGTTGTTTGGTGAAATCTTAAGAAAGAAAAAAATGGGGAACAAATAGAAAGAGAGGATGCAGAATATTGTCCTTGTTGAGCAACAACAGAAAAACACAGTGATGGGGTACTTCTGGTCTTGCTGCACTGAAAATAATGATTTTAAATACAGGTTGCTTAGGAAGTTAACAGTTTTCAAGCTCAAATTCATTCTGTGGGAAACTAATCACTATACACTATTTATGTATCTAATTAAATCACTCATACTTGTATCAAGACAGCCTAATGACACATACCAACCAATCATCTAATCAGTTCAGGACCCCAGGGTTTTGTAGAGGTATTCTAAAACCCTGTCATGAATCTTCAAATGTGATTTGTATCACTGTGAATTGCAGTGCTAAGGTTATTGCATTTATATTTGCATAGCTGCACACACAGTCCCATCTTCCCTTTTCCCCTCTCTCAGCTAAATCCAGGGAGAGCTCCAGAACTGCTGGCTTTATGCAAGAACCCAACCCAAAAAGTGAATTTCTCTTCTCATATCAGAGCCAGTTAACTTCCATGAAGGTCTATGAGCCAAACATTTTAACTGGTATCTTAGCACAAACAGGTTTCTATTTGTTTCCAACAAATAAAAAAACCTTTTTATGAGAGAACTGGATGCAAAGAGTAGTTTTCAAATGAAAATTTCTGACTGATTTCCCCAGTCTCCAGACAAGCATGAAGATTAAAGGAATAAGAACAGTGACATATACTTCTCCTGCCTCATGAAGTTAAAAGAGTGTCTCTGTAGTCTGAAATGAATGACTGAATTATTGGACTTCATATTTCTGCTCACTAAACAGGCTTGGTAAATTTTTCCACTAATTTTCAAATTAGAATTAGGATTCTTCCAAGATGTGTTTCTTCACCCCATGAGCACTGGAAAGCTGCCCTTCTCCTGACAAAGGGCTTTTACAGACCTTTCACTCCCAAAGTCAAATACAGAAGCTCATGCTCGGAAAACCAACGGCAATCACTACAATCAGTGTTTGTCACATGTATCACTTCAAACACAGTGGGACGGACTTCAGCTAAATTTTACAACATCAGTAAAGGCGAGTAAATCTGATGATGACAGCTTACATCTCCACAGGAAAAGTGAATTGGAGATGGTCTCCCTGTC